GGGGGGGGGGGGGGGGGGGTGTTAGGATTTTGGGGGAATTAATTGAGTAGATGATGATAAGAATAATTTAATGGGTTGAGGATTTGCTTTTTTTTTTATGCTTTTGAATTTTGGTTTGATTGAGATAAGGGATTTTTATTGGAGGAACGAAAGAGCTCAGTGATGTAAACATGTTTACTCGATTGCTATGACGTTGTTGGGAAATTTTTTTAATTGAGCATTATCTTAGGAGGGTTGAGAGATTGTTGAGATGAAGTGGTAGATGCGTTTTGGAGTAAGAATGGTAAGTGGGGCAAAATGGAATTCTGATTTTTTTACATGTTGAATTGCTAATGAAGTAGAATATATATTTTTTTTTCATGAAGAGTCCAATTCTTTGTTTTTACTTGATAAATTTGTTTCAAAGGTATAAATGCGGAAAAAAATGTAAAAAGTCCACTTTGCCCCACCCTCCCCTAAAACAGGATTTTTCTGCAATTGTGGTTCATAACTGATTTTCTACCCCGAAAAATTAATTCACGTAGCATTTAGAAAATATCTATACAAGTGCTAAATTAAAAAAAATTGAAGTGTGGTTTTTTCGAGGTTTGGGAGAAGATTGAAATCTTGAAAAAATTGGAAATATAAATAAAGATTCTAGGCCCATTATGAAAATTATCGTCAGTGCCACACTTTGGTAATACACGGAGAGGAATTTTCTAGAAAAATTTTAGTACGGGTACTGCAAAAAATTAAAATCCACGGGCTGTGAAAAATTCTAGTGCTGTTAAGGTAAAATTTCTTGGTATTTCTGGTAAAATTTCTGGGGATTTCTGTGAAATTTTCACAGAAAGATTTTTTCCTGGCCGTCACGTTGCGCCTCTTTTACCGTGCTAGCACTAGAATTTTTCTAAAAAAATTCTCTCCGTATATAGTATACTGTGTTACTAGTGCGTAAAGTTCCACTTTTTCACACGCACGTGTAACACGTCCTATTTTTTGTGGTACCTGCCGAGTTCACTGTTCGAAACGGTAGTGGGGATAATGTGGTCGTTTTTGTGCACGAGTGCATAAAATTCAAAAGCGCGCGTAAATTCACTTTACGCACGCTCGTGAACTTTACGCACACTAAAGCGTTTCAAAAATTGTACTTTTGAGGCAGGTATCAGAAAAAATAATTTGTTGCTGCGAGAGACTTTCGTTTTAAAAAAATAATTGGAGACAGTAAAATATAAAAAGTGAAATAATTAATAAAATACTCTCAAAAAATCCAAAAGCATCTGCAGCTTAAAAACGGTTACATGTCATTTAATCCCGGAAAATTGATCCTGAACAAATTAATCCTGGTGAAAAAATCCTGAAAAAAATTATCCTGAACAATTTGATCCTGGAAAAAAAATCCTGAAAAGAATTATCCTGACGAATTTAATCTTGAAATGAAAATCCTGCAAAAGTAATCCCACGGCAAAAAAAATCGAAAATCAAAACTTTACGACAAAAAATGAGGAGAAATAGGGAAAGAAAAGCAAAATCGACGAGAAATACTCAACACATTACACTGACTTATTTATTCAATTGAACTGCTGTCGATGCTGTCGAATGGAACATAAAAAAACGACGCAATCTTAATAATCAATTCATAACGAATGTAGAAAATCAATTACGTTATCATAAGTAATTATATCCAGACACTCAAGTTGTTGAAAGCAGCACCTACACCAATTTTTTAACAATAAACAATCATCGAATTTATTATTATTATTCCCCAAATTTTTGGAAAATTTGAGACAAATGATCAACGATTCCAATCTCCGGATCAAATCATCCAGGATCATTTTGATCAGGATGATTATGAACAGGACCGTATTGCATTAGGATTAATTTGTCGAGGACCATTTTAAGCAGGATTAAATGACGTGATACCCTTAAAAACTTGTTTCACAACATGTTGATTAAAAACGGCTCTTTGATCCCCGAAGAACCCCTCGGTGGTGACAGTGGCTTCACAGACATGAGCGACGGTGCAAAATCCCTTTCGAACACCCCGGACTCGACGCACCTGTCGTCGACACCATCGAGAACCGACTCCACGAGCGATGACACTGGCTGTCCCTTGGACACCGCCGACGAGAAAGATGAAGTGTCCTCGACAGTCTCCAATCTCTCGGACTTGTCTGGCTTGTCCGAGCTGTCTGAGGAGACGGGACAGTTGTGGAGGAGCGCATCTGCCTGGGTCCAGAAGCAGATGCAGACTGGCACAGACCCACGTGATTTACTTCAGCAGTTACTGATGGATCCCACTCAGATTCCGGAGCAGGTCGATGATATTACGTTATGGAAGGTTTGTATTACTATTTTATTATTTAAATATTTATTCATCTGTATCACAGGAGAGGACTACTTTTCACAGGGTAGGTTCCATAGATTCATTGAAATAAAAAGAATAAAATTTATCAAAGAAACTGAATAAAAGAGGAAGACATCGACCACATCGTATGGCAATTTCCCAGGTATCAGGAACAAAGAATAAAAATGATGATGAAGATAGTGAAACTCGACTACCTCCTGTTATCCTATTTACTAAAGATGAAAGAAACGTGAAGTTGTTTTATATCGAAATATCTCGAAACTTCCTGACCGCTAATTCTTAATTCTGATTGGTCAATATGTAACACGAAGTTATTCACAAAAAAAACACGCGGCATTTTCAAATTCTTCAGTGACATAATTTCAAATTCTTCAGTGGTAAATTTTTTTTTTCACGTCATATATATATATATATATATATATATATATATATATCTTCTTCTTTCGACAAATGAATAGATCAGCGCGCGCGAGAGCGCGCACAGATTTTGTGTGAAACATAGTATATATATTAAATCCTATAGTGATGAAAGCTACAGACAATTTCTTCAAAGAAAGCGAGCTTAGAATTCAAATGTACGATAAAACTTGAAAAGCTGTATCACTTGTTTAGAAACATACGTAGATAATCAAATGAAAACCCATATATTATAATTTCCAATGACAAGTAGTATTTATAGCTAACAGATCTTGTATTAGATCGCTAATTGTTGAATAAAGAAAAAAAACTGAATAAAAGAAACTGCAAAAGTAAAAGAGAGGAAGTGCAATAGAGGCCGAGATGACAGGTTTTTGTCCAGATATTTAATGCAAAATAATCAATTTTATCCAGTTATCTAGACCATCAAAATGACATGAGTATTATTTTGGATATTTTATTGATTTTGGCTTTTTATTTCATTAATTTTTTCATTTAATTTCCTTTGAGATTGACTTTTTGTTTTTTTTTCAAGTGAACAAAAAATGTCAGGAGATTCTTTTATAGGGAATTCTGTGAGCTAGTGAGGGGATCGATGGCTTTTGATAAGTCTGACGCTCTAGGAGATTTTCAGGGACTTGTATAGCGGAAAATTTTGGAGACTTGTCTAATTGTTGAAAAATATTAGTCTGATTGTTTTGGAAATATCTGGAAAAAAAAGTTTTGACAAAAGAGAACATTATTATTGCGAATATTTTATCCACTTTCAATTTGCATTTTATTCATATTTTCATTGAATTTATTTTCAGATTAAATTGTTGATGTCATCATTTTCTAATTTTGAATTGTCCTCTATATTTTTGTCACGAATAATTTCGTTTGCGAATCCTGAAAATATTGAATTGACGAATGTCGAATGGGTCTTGATCTACTGTTGAGGGGGATATTTTTGGAGGTTTTGAAGTTCACGAATGAATGGGAATTCTTATGTTTTCTTTTATTTTTCCTTCAGCTTGTGCTGAACATAATGTCTGATCCACCGAGACGACAGAAGCTGAGCTACGTCAATACCCTCAACGACGTGGTTAGATTGATCAAAGATAGTAAAAACATTATTGTACTGACCGGGGCTGGTGTGAGTGTCAGCTGTGGAATTCCAGATTTCAGGAGTAGGGATGGAATCTACTCGAGGCTTGCACAAGATTTTCCCAATTTACCGGATCCTCAGGTGAGTAGGGACTTATCGAAACTTCTTTGCTGTAGAACAGCGTAAGGTAGATGATACAGTTGAGTCCAGTAGCCGCTATCGAAGATGAATAAAACCAAGAAAATTGATTTGTAATTAATAATCAATATTTCAGTTTCAAAAACTAAATAATAAATAAAAAATAGGACGTTAAAAAAATTTGGTCTTGGTGACAGTTTCTGATCACTGTTTTACTTTATGAATGAATTATTACCGTTTTCATATTTATTTCAAGAGAATCAGAACATCTCATTTCCCATTATTTGTCTGTTTACACAATATATTATATTTTCTTTCGATAATTTCCCAGTTGGAAATTCGAAATGTTTTGCGATTTTTCAGTCAATTAATTGTTTACTGACCAATATTGATATGTAAATTTTAAATTCGCATTCAATTTTCTGTATGTCGCCGATTATATTGAAAATCAATAATTTTAGCTTCCTGGACTGTTAGCAATTTTGTGTAGTTATAGATGTTCTATTTGAAGAATTGAATCCTATGTTGACGAAAAGGTGTTTGTAAATTATTCATGATGTTCAGAAATTGTCGACTTCAAGAAAATAATGGACATTACGAATATGCGTCTGATTTCATATTTTCCAGGAAAATTTTACATGGTTTTTTTTCTAGAGAACATGAACTTTTCTGGGGAAAAATTTTCCGGGGATTTATCTCCGGGAACCCCCAATAAATCACTCAATTAAAATCACCCCCAAAAATTCACCAACAATTTAACCCCGAAAACCCCATTCTCAAATTCCAGGCGATGTTCGACATAAACTTCTTCGCCCAGGACCCCCGTCCCTTCTTCAAGTTCGCCCGTGAGATCTACCCGGGCCTCTTCAAGCCCTCCCCCTGTCACCGCTTCATAAAGATGCTGGAGAAACACAAAAAGCTGCTGCGCAACTACTCCCAGAACATCGACACCCTGGAGCAAGTGGCGGGAATTGAGAATGTGATAGAATGCCACGGCTCCTTTGCCACAGCATCCTGCACCAAATGTAAATTCCAGGTGACAGCCGAGGACATTCGCACTGACATCTTCACCCAGAGGATTCCCCTCTGCCCCAAATGCAGCACCAATTCGCTCCCCTCTCTGGCGACCACCAACACCTCCCACAACTACACAGATTTGGTATCCCAGGGGATCATGAAGCCAGACATTGTATTCTTCGGTGAAGGTCTCCCCGACGTCTTTCACGACTCCATCGCCAAGGACAAGGACGACTGCGACCTGTTGATTGTCATTGGTTCCTCCCTAAAGGTCAGACCTGTGGCCCTTATTCCCTCGTCGATTCCCTCCCACGTGCCCCAGATTCTCATCAACCGAGAGTCCCTACCACACCTGAAATTCGACGTAGAACTCCTGGGAGATGGCGACATAATCATCAATCAGTTGTGCCACCTCATGGGTGAGGAATTTCACGAGTTGTGCTGGAGCGAGAAGATCCTCGAGGAGAGCCCTCACCTGCTGCCCCCCAGGTTCGAGGACCCTTGGGAGAGGAGCAACAACTCGACCCAGGACAGCACTGAGATCATCCTCAAGCAGCACAATGTCTCCAACGAGAGCCAGGACAGCTTGAGCATCAACTCGAACACTCCCAAGCACCTGGGGAACAGTGAAATCTGCATTTCTCCTTTTGACGCTGGACACATGGAGGGGAACGAGGGCTTCTCCCTGCTGGAGAGCCCTAAGCGACCTCTGGACGACTCCAGCGTTGAGAGCAGCCCTAAGAGGCTAAACAGATCCTCGGGGTCCACTAGGTCCAGCGATGAGGGGGAGAGGTTCAGGTTCACGAGAATTGTCTCTGTCGAGTCGACTTCTGAGAATAATGGACAGGTTTTCAACCTTGAGGAGTGCCATGTGATACCCAGGATTATTGAGCAGGGGGCGAGGATTGAGGAGAGGGAGGCTGAGGACAAGTATGGAAAGTCGAGACATGCTTCTATAGATTCGGCTATTGACTCGGGGATCGGGGACAGTTGTAATAGTGTGGACAGCTCTGAGGCGAAGGAGATCGAGGAGAAGCGGCAGGAGATGGAGAGGAGGTGGGGGGAGATGAAGGAGAGCCTGGCGGGGAGATTGCCGGAGGGAAGCTATTATCAGGTTTCATCGGGGAAGTACATCTTCCCGGGGGCTGAGGTTTATCTGGAGGGCGAGGACTTCGGGGAGATGGAGGCCAGGGGGAGTGAGGTGAGTTCGTGGGCGAGGGGCTGCTTTGGGGAGCATCTGGGGAGGAAAGGGATCTGGGGAAAATTGGCAGAAGTCGTTTTTTGTGGGGAATTGTTCGGTACAAAAAAGACCCTGCATTTACCAAAGACGAAATTACTCGCATTAGGATAATTTTCTTCCGGTGATGCTGAATCCGTTAACCTAAACTGGTCACCAGGCGAGGGAATTGCCGCAACACGTTTTATTCACCTTGCCATCGACTGGCTGACCGGAAAAATTTGAGAAAAATTGAATTCGTCAATTGAAGTAGCTGGAAAATTCTAGTATTTTTTTTTCAATATTGTATCCTTAATTCTGGGAGAAAAAAAATTATTTCCAACAGGTGAACAATTTTTTCCCGTGTTAAATGAAATTGCCTGTTACGCGACGTTGCTGGGAACTCGCTAAACGCGCCCGGGAAGTGTAGAGTGGATTCGGTAACGCTGGAGCCTAAATAACACCGCGGCACTCTCCCGCCAAAGTGACTAAAGTCGCATTTTCCCGTCAGGTGACCAGACTAGGATTAACTGAATTTTTCTAGGTCTTCTTTCAGAGGAACAATGTTAAGATTCCCAAAATAAAGTCGTCTGATGTTTTTTTGTAGAAATTGTATGAGAAAATTTTAGAGAGATGTCTAATCGTTAAAAAATATTAGTCTGATTGTTTCGGAAATATCTGGGGCAACAAGAGGTTTATGAAAAAATTTACATCATTATTACGACTTTTCTATTAATTTTCGTATTGCATTTTTTCATTTTTTCATTCAATTCATTTTAAGATTCCATTTTTGCATTCATTACTTGTTTTTTAATCCTGAATTGCCTTTATATTTTTTACATAATACATAAAACATGAATACAATTAATGTCGTTTGTAAATTTTGTATTTTGAGATTCTTGGATTGAAGTATTTTGAATGGGTATTTTGAAATTGTGAGGAGAGAATTTGAGAGACGCGTCTAACGTCCCCAAAATATTCGTCTGATTGTTTTGTAAATGTCTGGGGGCAGAGAAGGGGCCGAGGAGAAAATGCAAAAGGAAATTTTTTGCAGATAGATAAAATCTCCACAAAAAATGTATTTTGACATTTCCTCCTAAGTCCATACAAACAATGGGAGAATCAATCTAAAATTCACTCGAAATGAAAATCAACGAATCTCTCTGGAAATTGACTAAATTTTTTAATTTCACAGATCTCTACTGTGACGTATGCAGAGGATGAGCGCAGAGCAACGTAAGGGTAACAATAAAAAAAAATGTAACTTGAGGTTACGAAATCGTGCAATTCAGTCTGTTAATAACCTCCAGAGGAGCATTAAGCAGACGTAATCCTCCGATCGTTGAGGATCGAGAGTTCGAGGGGATGTTTAGGAAACGCTGAGAGAGATTAGCTGACGTCTGTCGTCATCACGAAGTTCGATTATTCCTTTGGACTAAGAACGGGTTAACGTGTAATATTGGTACTTCAGGTCCCAGTGTCAAGAGATTGACCAGTTGAATGAGAAAATCGTTGTGAAGTGAAATTGAATCATCGAATTTTTATGCATTCTGCGTAATTATTTTAATTTCTCCATTTCACTCCATTGAATTGAGGACAAGGACTGGCTTATGTCGTCGCTCACATTATTTATCCGCTATTGTAAATACTGTATTTTGTAACCGATTTTTATTTGTTGAGTTGAATGTATGAGGAAAAATGATGTAGGCTTATTGTTAAGGGACGTCTGCAGGAAGTTGAGATGTAAATAGGGAGGAAATTTTCGTTGCATTTTGGGGCATGTGGAGGGCATGATGATTAGACTTCTCTGATGTTTAATTGCCTCGGAATTGTTTAAACAAATGTCCGGAGAAATGATGAAATGTGGGGAGAACGTTAGTTTTTCAGGATTCATTTGTTAAAAGTGGAATTATCTAGCAAACGGGAGGGTTTAAGAGAAATTGTCATAAGAATTTTTTTGTAGGGAATTTAATTTTCAACAAAAAATGTCTTATGATATTTTCTTGTAGAACCACTCGTTTTGGAGATAAGTGCGAAAAACTAAAACAGGAAATTTGACTCATTGGGTTTCAAGACTTCTTCGATAAATTTATTGATCCATTACCTCCTGGTAGTGATTATTAACCAAAAGAGATGAATTATAGATCGTCTTCATTTCTCCATTACAGTGATCGATTTATCGTTTCGAGACTCCATTCAATCAATTTAAAATTTAAGTAGAACATAAATTATTGGGGTTGAGAGGAATAATTAAATACTATTTATAATATTTCGTGATTAATTGGGATTAATTGATCGATCCATTGCCCTTTTTTGTACGATCTCAATGTATTAAGTTAAAAAATGAAAGAAAATGAGATTGGGAGGGAAATTCAATGGGAAATTCAATACTTAAGCTTTCTTCGCTTTTTGTTGGCAAAATTCATCTCATGGAGAGTGCAAAATCAAATACTGCTGCATTAATTGTCCCAACAGGTGGAACTGCAATGTTAATCGATGTCAATTGATTAATCTCTGATGTGAGGGAACGTAGATGAATTATTATTTCGTGGTTATCACTAATTTAATTGAAATTTTGATTCTCCGGTTTAATTGGAGCACAGGCGAATGTACAAAGCAATGCCAGAGGCTAATAGCATTGCGTGTTATTTTTATATGGAAAGGAAAACATGTGTAGTGACTTAAGAGAAATGTAAAAATAATTGAAAATGATGAAAAAATTAGAGGGGTTGAGTGAGGAGAGGAGATGATTTCGAAATGGATTTATGGATTTTCGATAAATCTGTTTATTTAGGAGGATAATTTTTAAACTCGTCTTCTATTCTCCACCACCGCATCTCTCACAAGATTGTGTGCGTTAATTACCCGTAAACAGTCGTAATAGTTCGATCTAGAGATATTAAGCACCAGCATATGTATTTTACCCAGAATAATACAACAAAAATTGTTGAAAAATAATGAAGAATGAAAGAAAGAAGAGATTTTTTCTCTAGATTAGCTGTAAAAACTGCAGAAGTGAAAAAACAATTGATGAATTTATTTTTAATAGGAAATTGAATTAAAATCGTGATGTCTTAATTTAAACGAACCAGTATAATCTAATCGAAATCGGGTAGACGAACGCCAAGAATCGTTTCTTAGTTGAAAATTAGAAATGTTTTATAAACATTGACATTTAATTTTTTCTTCGCTTTGTAAAAATGCCAATTTATTTATATTTGTTATGAACATGCTACTGGCACTCACTAAACCCGACACAAACATGGAAGAAAAAAATTATAATTGAAATAATTAATATAATTAACTATTTTCGATGAAAAATTCATGAAATTTCATAATTGGCTTTAATTTATTCTAAAATCATTGAGATGAAAGACAAATCAATTGATTAATTTCATCAATTTTCTTTCAACAGTACTGACTTCTTATATATATTAATTAAAAACGTAATTGTATGTGAATATTTATTATTTCTACTCCATTCAAATGAACTTGAAAAAATGATTTGAATGAAATATCAATTTCCACGTTAATTAATCACTGTTAATTATGAGTAAATAAATAATCGATTGATATTTTCGAACCGGACGCAAAACACTAGATACAGAGTTTTGAATTTTTTATAATTTGTTATTTAATGTAATTGATAATATAAATTGTTTACTTTATTTACAAAAACACAGTTTTAAGGAATCAATTATTTTTCTCTCGGTATTACTAACGCATAAGGGATCTAATCTACTCAAATCACATCGTAAATTAAAGATTTTTTATGAAATTCAAGAGGATCATGTGCAGGTGTTTATTTATTCAGTTACCTCATACATTTATTTCTATTATCTATTACTACGAATGATTGAGACATTTATTGGGGGATAAATTGTCTTCGTGGAAAATTTTGTGAGCTTCAAACATGGTCTCTTAATATTTTTTTATCCAATGGTGTTGGACATATTTGCAAAATAGTTCGAGAGGAATTTTTGAAACTTCAGAATTTTTCATATTATTTAGTAAATATCTCGGAAATTATTCGAGTTAGAGGAAAATGCCAGAGGAAAATGCCTTGTTTGATGGAAATTGGATTTCCTGCAAAAATAGTCACTTGACATTTTTTCAACAATTCCCAAGATATTTGATGAATAATATAACTGCTGATTATTTTCAAGGGTATCATCGAGTGTTGCTTACAATAACACTTGGAATTATCCCAGAAAATCACCTAGCACTTGTGTTTCCAATGAAATAATTCAATTTCAATCAGAATTATCGAAGATTTAACGCAATTGTTACGAAGATTTTCCATAATACATTCATGTAGTAGATAAATGAATGAAAAGAAAATGGAAAATGGTCTTAGATGAAGTTGAATTCCTAGTGGATGATAGAAAATAGTCTGTAAATAGGGGGGAAATCGTGGGGGTAACGATAATCGCACGAGAAGAATTGGCAGATGACAATTAAAGAAATAAATTAATGAAACTAGTGTTAAGGGGGTGCAACAGAGAATAATCAACAATTTCATCTTCACAATGGTAAATATTTTCTCACAATCATCTCTGTTGCTCGATTAAGATCATAACGAGGTAATGAAGTTTCGAGGAATAATGAGAGTGACTATTTTTGTTGTTCGTGTAATTGTCGTCGAGGGAGAGTGACTCTTGATCAATTATCGGGGTGTCTTGATATTATTTTGTACTTAACGATTGGGGTGAATACGAGAGGATAAATAGTTCATAATGAATTACGTGCAAATGTGTGTTGTACATGGCAATGATAAATATGTATATTTTCAGCAGTAATAAAGAGAATTAATGGTTAATCATGTTCTTTGCTCTGTTTTTGAGAGGTCAGTGGGAATTTTTAGGGAAGACCGCGGAGTCCAAGAGAGACAGGTTCGTACTAAAATTATTCATCTGCTGTTATACATCTGTCCATTCGTCCATGAATTCAATCTGTTTTCTTATTTTATCAAGTTAATTAAAAATATTTTGATTTGATCTGATTTTTATTTCATTCATATGTTTTATTTCAAATTCAACAAACAAAGTATAATAATGAGAGTAATAAAGTGAAGAGTTCTCATAACAGAAAGCTTTATNTTTCCAATGAAATAATTCAATTTCAATCAGAATTATCGAAGATTTAACGCAATTGTTACGAAGATTTTCCATAATACATTCATGTAGTAGATAAATGAATGAAAAGAAAATGGAAAATGGTCTTAGATGAAGTTGAATTCCTAGTGGATGATAGAAAATAGTCTGTAAATAGGGGGGAAATCGTGGGGGTAACGATAATCGCACGAGAAGAATTGGCAGATGACAATTAAAGAAATAAATTAATGAAACTAGTGTTAAGGGGGTGCAACAGAGAATAATCAACAATTTCATCTTCACAATGGTAAATATTTTCTCACAATCATCTCTGTTGCTCGATTAAGATCATAACGAGGTAATGAAGTTTCGAGGAATAATGAGAGTGACTATTTTTGTTGTTCGTGTAATTGTCGTCGAGGGAGAGTGACTCTTGATCAATTATCGGGGTGTCTTGATATTATTTTGTACTTAACGATTGGGGTGAATACGAGAGGATAAATAGTTCATAATGAATTACGTGCAAATGTGTGTTGTACATGGCAATGATAAATATGTATATTTTCAGCAGTAATAAAGAGAATTAATGGTTAATCATGTTCTTTGCTCTGTTTTTGAGAGGTCAGTGGGAATTTTTAGGGAAGACCGCGGAGTCCAAGAGAGACAGGTTCGTACTAAAATTATTCATCTGCTGTTATACATCTGTCCATTCGTCCATGAATTCAATCTGTTTTCTTATTTTATCAAGTTAATTAAAAATATTTTGATTTGATCTGATTTTTATTTCATTCATATGTTTTATTTCAAATTCAACAAACAAAGTATAATAATGAGAGTAATAAAGTGAAGAGTTCTCATAACAGAAAGCTTTATTTATTTTATTTCTCTCTATTTAATAAAAAATAAAGTGGGGGAGGGGGGGGTATCAAGGGACCCATATGGGGGGATGTCATTCGGGGAAATGTCCAGCGATTCCACCAAATCTGGGGGCCTATTCTCGAAATATTTCCGTGCGCGGAATCGACTCCGTTGACGGAACGCCTATATGATTCCTATACGCAATTCGTCTACGAAGCCACTTCCGTGCACGAAAATATTTCGAGAATAGGCCCCCTGTATATGAAATATCTTGCCCCAAAAGTTTTGCTTTTTTTGACGTGAATACGTCTATGGTTTCAATATGGAGAGTCATTTCGGGAAACGGTCCTTATGTGCAGCGCCATCTGTCGGAATTCGAAAAAATTCTAGACATTTCGAGGTAATTCTAGAAATTTCTTGAAATTTTGAAAAAATTCAAGGAGTGTCTAGAAAATTCGAGGGAATACAAGGAATTTCTAGAAAATTTGAGATAGAAGGAACCCAGGAAAGATCTGGCCATATTCACGTACAATTACAGCTGTATCAAAGATACAGCCGCCAGCGTTTTTTTCATCTGAAATTCCATTCCATTTAGGAGACACTTTCAGCTACAACTTTTCAAAATATTCCCCCCAATATCTTCACATATACAATAGAAAAAATGCTGATTACTTTTGGGACTTCTTCTCTTGAATTGATGGCAAGGAAACGATGAATTTGTATTTTCATATTCGGTCATACCCGTTCAATCACATGGATGGGGGGGGGGGGGGGGGAGGG